AATTGGACCTCATCAGAATTAACAACTTTTGCTTTGCAAAAAAATCCTGTTAGGAGGATGAATAGACAAGCTACAGACTAGGAAAAATATTTGCAGACAACACATCTGACAAAGGTAAATTATTTGTAATATATAAAGTACTCTCAAGAGTCAACACTGTAAAACAAACAATCCAATTGAAAAATGGGTGAAAGAGGAGCACACATTTTGCTGAAGAATATACAGATGGCAAAAATGCACATTTAAATATGTTCAACCAAAATTAGCCATTGGAGAAATGAAAATTGAAATCACAGTGAGATATCACTATACAGTATCAGAATGACTAAAAAGAAAAATAGTGATAGCACCAAATGTTGATGAGGATGCTAAGGAGCCAGATAACTTATACTTTATGGCGAGACATAAAATACTGCAGCTACTCTGGAAAAAATTGTGGCAGCTTCTGTTAAAACTAAAAATGTAGTTATAAAATCCAGCAATTTCACTACTGGGTATTTATCCCAAATAAATGAAAACTTCTGTTCATACAATAACCTGTACAGCATAGAAGTTTTATTCATAACAGTCAAAAACTGGAATTAACCTAAATGTCCTTCAGTGGGTGTTACTGGTCAGCAATAAAATAATTCTAATGGTACATGCAACAACTGGATTATCTTAATGTAATTCTGAGCAAAATAAAACAATCTTGGCAGATTATATTGCATGATTTCTATTAAATAGCAGTGAGTTGATCCATTATAGAGAAGATCAGGTTAGTGGGTGACAAAGAATAGGGAAGGAGAAGAGAGGGATACAGGGAGACAGTGGAGCTATGAAAGGATTTTCCAGAGATAGAAATCTCCCTATATGTTTCCTGTGACCACAGTCACACAAATCTACATGTGTAGATTTAAGCCCTGTTTAAAATTAAACAGGGCTTATTAAACACACAAAAATTAGTGTATATGAAACTGGTGAAATCTGAATAAGATTGATAGATTGTGTCAAAGTTTCCTGGTTGTGACATTGTACTGTAATGTGTAAGATATGACACCTTTGAGAGAAATTAGGTGATAGGTATAAGGGATCTCTATTTTTTTCTCACAACTGCATATGAATCTATAATTATCTCAAAATAGTTTTTAGAAATCACTCCAGGTACAGTATGAGGATAGACTGGTTACGAGGTTGGAATATACAGGACTTACTGGGTCTTTGGATGAGTCTGTGTCTGTTGGGGGGAAACAGAGAAGGGCAGGACATGGTCTATGGCGACCTCCAGTTTTCTTCCTTAGACTTTATTTATTAGTAGAGAAAACAGGGTAGACAACTGGAGAAGATGGGTGATTGAATTCAATTTTGATATTGTGGAGTTTATTTTTCATCAACCAAGCAGAGTACACAAAATGAAAATTCCAGCAGTAAGAACAGGAATCCCTGGGCAAGGGAAGGATATAGAATGTTCTGCTGGATTCTGTATACATAACCATCATATAGCATCTCAACACATGAATGAATATTAAAATATTGGAGTTACCAGTATGTCACTGCAAGGGAATTTTTGAATTCATAAGCAAGAGTAAACATAAAAATATGTATCTGTGGGAGTTTCAAATATAGGCTGGAAAGAAGAATTTGCAATTCCATTATGCATTAAAGTAAAGAGAAATTGACACTGAGTACCCTCTGTGTGTGCCAAGTTCTATATTGGTGTTCAGAAGCATTATCCTGTTTAATCCACACAATAGGCTTAAAAAGTTAACTTTTATTATCCACAATTTTTAAACAGAAGTAGTTTGCCAAATGAAACAAAGTCTATGAGGAATTTCCCAGCTACAATTTGAATCGAGATGTGTTTAACTTCCAAGCCCACATCCTCTCCACCCCATCAAGTAGCTTGTGGAGAGTGGGGGAGAGCAGACCATACAGCAGATTTTATATTCTTGCTTATTTGGGGGTTTTTGTAAAGTTCAACATCTACATTTATTTCTCTAAGTTCTTGCCCCTTTATTTTCCAGTCAACATGTTTTAAGTTAGGCAGGTTATGCAGATTTGTTAACAAGCATCTTTCATCTCAACTAATACAAACAGCCGGAGTCTTCAGTTCTGTTTCCAAACTTTACATGGCGCATTAGCTTCAACTTCATTAACTATTAACATGGGATTCCTTAAACCACTATACCACTAAACAAGTAAACAACAAATAACTTTCCTTTTCTATAGAAAAACCCATACATTATAAGGTTTATTTTTCTGCTCTGGTGATTTTCTATATAATTTATTTTCTTAGTTCACATCTTTTCTAACAGGTATTTCATTTCAGATTTTTAAGGTTAGCACATCTTGCCTATTGTCTGCAGGGCTTGAAAGCCAATTCAGCTCAAGACTATACATCACAATCCATTTAATTACAAACCAAGAACAGTCAAACCAAGTCCTGAAGAGGTAATTTTCAGGTAGGAAGTATACACCTTTCCTTAATCAACATAGATAAAATTTCAGTATCTCCAAAGGCCTTTGTTACTAATTATTATTGTCACTAAATTTAATTTTCAAATGCATTTCAACAGGAAACAGTCCACATCTCATTTCATATCCATCAACATGTAAACTCAAGCCTGAGTAATATATCTAAATGCTAAAAATGTGGGTGGGAGTAGAAGATTTGAGGATGTTTATATGATCTGATCCTCTGCTATCTCAGTTCATTTTGATCCTTCACCTTCTAAAGCATCCAAAGCTTAGGAATAGATTTAACTTCTCTCCCTTTACGCCATCTAGTGGTTATAAATGGCATACGCGTGGTTTTAAGGAAGATTCCTAATGAATGGGGGGCGGGGTACACGAAAAACATAACGGTTGGCAGCCACAATTTCCTAATCTCTCTCCACATCACCGACTCCACACAAGGACACCTTTAACTATTTTAACCATGTTTGATCTGCACAGAGATACGCAGAGAGAATGAAGGGGACTCACACTCACTGCGAACTCACGCCCCTTGACATTTAGAAAAGGGTTCTAAATCCTTCCTGTCATTCGCAAAGGACGGGGAAAGGAGTCGTGGCAGGACCTAGACCAAGGAGACTGACAGACTTTTCGTCAAGTTGGATAGATGACGTACTAACCTCCGCAACGTTAACATCTGGTATGAACAAATAAAAAGAAAGAAAAAGAGGAAAAAAGCACTTAAAAAATCCGCCGCGGGGCTTTGCAGGGCTTGCCCCCCAATCTCCCCCAGAAGACAACCAATTCCTGCGCGTTCCGCTCCGCTCACCCGCCTTCCCAGCTTCTCTCTCTCTTTCCCGGTTTCCCACGCTCGCCTGGAACCGGGACCCAGGGAGACAGAAGCAAAAGGCACCGGTCCCCTTCCTCCTCTCCTCCACCAAGCCACCGCAGCCCAGCGCGTGCAGCTTCCCTTTGTTCAGCGAGGCTCGCTCTCCTCCCCTGGCAGATCCACCTGGATGCTCTCCCTCGGTGACATTTTTCGCCGGGGCTGGTGGGTGGCTGGGGTGGAGCCAGAGGAGCCCGAGGGGGCGGGGGGTGGAGAAAGGTCAAGCCCAGGGAAAGGCGGGAGACGCCGTTCATAACCTGCGTGGTGGGGCGTGTGCTCGGTTATTTATTTATTTTCTCCTTATTTATTGATCGCACCAGCAGAGCGGCGCGGGGAGCTCGGGGACATGCAGGACCACCCACTGGCGGGGAAGCAGCCAGCCGCCCTCCCGCGCCCCCGCGTTGCCGAGCGCGTCCAGCCTCAGCGCTCCGGCGATTGCCGGCTCCAGCCCCGGCTCCGACCCCGCAGCGCCACAGCCCCGGCAGCCCGGCAGTCCGGGAGCCCCGCAGCCCCGCAGAGCGCAGCTCCGGCCCTGGCTACAGCGGCGGCGCAGTAAGTTGGCAGGAGCGAGTCCCCTCGGTTCGCTTCCCCCGCACCTTTTGAACTTGTTGCTGCTGCTGGGCTCCCCTGCGCCCGGCTTTGGGAAGGTGAAAAGGAGGAGGGAAGCACGGAGGGATGGGGGAAGGGGAAGCAGAGCTCGCTTGAGCTTTATTTATGCTCCCTCGGTGCCTGGATTCGGCTGCTCGCGAGCTGCTCCCTCTGCTTTTCCTTTTTCGGGTGCTCGGCGAGGAGAAAGTCTCCATGCAACTCAGCCCCGGTGCACACTTGGCCAGGTATGTACCGCAGGCGAGGCGCGTTCTGTGCGCAGACAGATGCTACTGCCGCCGAGACGGTGGCGGCTGCCAGCTCCCCGGCTCCTTAACTGTCATACTGCACCTGAGCTGAACTTGAAAAGAGAGTGAAGGGGCGATTGGACGAACGCTTCTGGCAGACACAGGGGTGCTTGTAGACTTAGGGGGAGGAGGATCTATACAAACATCCCCCACTGTGCCCATCACACAGCAACCCCATCTCTACAAATACTGCCCGAGGGCTAGGGGTGGTCACCGGACTCCCAAAGAGACGTGGGGTACTGTCTGTGATTGCATCTGGGAAGCTACAACAGGTCGTCTTTTTGAGACTCCTTTGGCGGGAAGGGCCACTTGAAAAAGGAAGGTTTGAGAGAGCCAAAAGGGAAGGTGTAAGTGTTGCCTAATTAGGCAAAAGAATACCACTGAGTGATTGTCCTTCGTTTTTTTCTGCCCTACACAAAGCATACTGACCCCACGTTAACCACGTGTCAAGGGAGAAATCAAAGACACCTGTTTGAAGAAATTACTACACCTAAAGTCACCTGTGTACATATTTGTACCAGCAGTGGCCTGGCCCAACTGCTGGAAAAGGTTTGGTTAGGTTCTGTTGGGCGTGATTGTCAGGACATTTTGTTTTCTAAATACTCGTCTCTGGGGGAAACTTGCCCTTCTGAGACCTGTGACTTCACCAGGAGCCCTACCTTGGAATAAGATTGATACCTCTGGACCACCTTTCTCTGTAGTATTTGTTTGACAGGAGGAAGTGGGTGGTTGTGGCTACTTTGACCCTCTATAGAGGCCTGATTACCCTTCTGGCCTCCACTTCAAGGCACCATGGCGGCAGGTGTAGCAGCGTGGCTGCCCTTTGCAAGGGCAGCGGCCATCGGGTGGATGCCTGTGGCTTCGGCGCCTATGCCGGCTCCCCCAAGGCAGGAGAGAAAAAGGACTCAAGATGCTCTAATTGTGCTGAATGTGAGTGGTACCCGTTTCCAAACATGGCAGGACACCCTGGAACGCTATCCAGACACTCTGCTGGGCAGTTCAGAGAGGGACTTTTTCTACCATCCAGAGACTCAGCAGTATTTTTTTGACCGTGACCCAGACATCTTCCGTCATATCCTGAATTTCTACCGCACTGGGAAGCTCCACTATCCTCGCCATGAGTGCATCTCTGCTTATGATGAAGAATTGGCCTTCTTTGGCCTCATCCCAGAAATTATTGGCGACTGCTGTTATGAGGAGTACAAGGATCGAAGGCGAGAGAACGCAGAGCGCCTCCAGGACGACGCCGACACTGACAACACAGGAGAGAACGCGCTGCCCACGATGACTGCTCGGCAGAGGGTCTGGCGGGCCTTTGAGAACCCCCACACCAGCACGATGGCCCTGGTGTTCTACTACGTTACAGGGTTCTTCATTGCCGTCTCAGTCATCGCTAATGTGGTTGAAACAGTGCCCTGTGGGTCTAGCCCAGGTCACATTAAAGAACTGCCATGTGGGGAGCGCTATGCAGTGGCCTTCTTTTGCTTGGATACTGCCTGCGTCATGATCTTCACTGTTGAGTACTTGCTTCGCCTAGCTGCAGCGCCCAGTCGTTACCGTTTTGTGCGTAGCGTCATGAGTATCATAGACGTGGTGGCCATTCTGCCTTATTACATTGGGCTAGTGATGACAGACAATGAGGATGTTAGCGGGGCCTTTGTCACACTCCGAGTCTTCCGTGTCTTCCGGATCTTTAAATTTTCTCGCCACTCTCAAGGCCTGCGCATCCTGGGGTACACACTGAAGAGTTGTGCATCCGAATTGGGCTTCTTGCTCTTCTCTCTCACCATGGCTATCATCATTTTCGCTACAGTTATGTTCTACGCAGAGAAGGGGTCTTCCGCCAGCAAGTTCACCAGCATCCCTGCCGCCTTCTGGTATACCATCGTCACCATGACAACACTAGGGTAGGTCGCATCAAGGGGAATGGGGTGCAGGTTGCATGTGTGTGACGTGATTGTGGACCCACTAAAGTTACGTAGTAAATCAAAGGAAAAAAATAATTTTTCTCTTTTTTAAATGGGTTTGGGAAAGCATTATCTAAACGGTTTTAAGGAGCTCTTTTGATCTATGAAATGTGTATGATACAGAGTTTGAGGTACTTAGAGAGTTGAGTATTGATGCTGAGTATGGATGCCTGGAAGTGATAAATACAACAAAGAAATTTTAGAATTCCTGAATATGAGGGAAGATCATCAATATTATATATGTGAATAAATAAAAATATAGTAAGACTGAAAACAAAATCTGTGTCCCAGTAAAGGTATAAACGTGCATCAAATGTATCAAAATGCCTAGAAAGTGTTCCAGTGTGTGTATTCAAGTGAAAAGTTTTTATGTATATTTGAAGTATTACTTTCAAAGCAATAGATACTTTTGGCATGTATTTTCCCTCCAAGAACTATAATTCTTATTTTATATTATAAAATATAGATTATAGATATCACATAAAATAATTTTGTAATATATATGCACATATTCAAAGACATGCATTTTCATTGTGGCTGATAAGTTATACAGGTTTAGAATATCAAGACTGAAACTGATCAACTCTATAAAATGCAGTGGAATGATATTTGAAACATATTTAAGACTCGAGGTTCATAGTTTCAAAAAAGAAGCAAGTAACTGTCATACTCCATTTTTTGAGAAGCTACAGATCCCATCAGGCAATGGGTTCATGATCATTAAGTAAACATAGAAGGTAGAGTAGTATCTGGTGAGAGTGATGGTTCCCCAGCGGTGGTCACAATACAGAATTTTGTGCATTCTTTTATTTGGGAGTAATGGTGTTTTGCAAGCAAAACGGCATATCCCAAATTAATGTTTTTTAAAATACATTTTAAGCTGGAATTAAGATTTTTTAGATTATAGAAAAGAGAAAGGTATGAAATAATTAATAATGTTAATCAAACTACAGAAAAGTAGCAGCATTTACATATGACAGAATCTAATGAAATAGGATGGTTAGAGCCCTTTACTTTTATGAGTTCTTAGATAAGCCAAGTAGTGATAGTGTTCTTTCTTTGGCTTTATGCTTCTTTTCTGGCATAGTTAATCAGTTCAATGGGGATTTGGTAATGGCTATGAGAAAAAGTTATTCCCAAGGCTGCCTTTTGAGTTTTGTGTTCCTGACTAATTTAATTGCTTTCTTTAAATGATAATGTAGTTAAAATCAACCTAATTTTTTAGGCATCTTGTGTTGAGCAGAATTTCTCATGTTGTCATATAGCTAACTAATGGAATATTTTATATGTGGAGAATTTTTGGCTAAGTAGGAAGTTATAGTACAGTAGAATACAATAACTTGATCTTGATTTAATCTCACATGCATTTTGAAGTCCTACTGGTGCATTTTCAAAAATTAATTAGTGAAAATCCATATTCTATTGCTTGTATCTCTCTTTTACATATTGGTAATTTTGTGACAAATTTTGAAGATGCTTCAGAATAGTATAGGTTCTTATTTCTTATACAATTACATATGCATATAAATAATTATATATACATATATGTGTACACATATGGTCTTGTCTTTTGGTCACTTGAAATCTTTATTTAGGACAGTTGGATAGTGCAAGTCAGTATCAGGACATCAAATCAGAAGTATATATGAATTAAAAAGGGCTCTGGTTAAGGGGAAATAAAGGAAGATATATTAAAAGGAAATATATTTTAAAAAACTTGATGTCAGTGGCAATGTTTTTCACAAAGTGTCACTGAGTCATAGTAATACTGTATAATGTCTATAAGATTGAATGCAGGCATTATTATAACTAATGTTGATGAGATGCTAATTTCATCCAGCTAAAAGTTTTATCCTAAATATGTGAAATCAATATTATTTTAAAATTTATTTCTTGAAACAACTTTTAAATTTCATTTTATTTTGAAATTTATTTGTGTTTCCAGGAGAAAAATGAGGAGATGTTAACCATTAGTGACATTTTTATGTCATAAAATGCTTATAAACATCTACTTTGAAATAAACTGAATCATAATGCCTGCATAAATTCCATGAAATAGATTTAATACACATATTCTATATGTAAGTGAATAGAAGAATTAAATATGCACTTTCTCAGAACTTAGAAGCAAAATTGGAGTTACTTTTAAGACTTAAGTTCATTGAAGTTGAAAAGTTTAATTTTCAGGAAATTAAAGATGTTGAAATATTGGAGTCACATTTTTCAGGTGTTGAAATGCTGATGCTTTCAAAATACAGTACATTTATTGAAAAAATGTGTGAATATTTAACAAAGCATATGCTTTATAATATAGCACAGTTTCTTAGAAAATGTCTTCAGTTTCTCATCAAAGTGTATTTATAATGTATTTTATTTTCCTGCAGAAATAGATTTTTTTTAAATTCTGCTTTTCTGTGTCTTACCTTTGCTTGCACTGTGACCCTACAGCTTTATTTAAGAATAGAAAATATTCAGCAAAAGCCACCACCTGAATTTAGTTTTTTATGCTGTAGTTTTATACTTAGAAGCTGAAGTATATACTGTGTAAACTTTCTGGAAAACATGCAGTTATTGAAGCTAGTATCAAGCTGTGTATGTTACATGACCAAGAATTCCCATTACACTTTCTGAGCTCTTTTTACATGGCTATTATTTCTAATAGATTTAGTATTCATCAATTAATGATAATAGAAGTGAAAATGGAATCCTAAATAGTGGTTATCAAAAGTTCCAGCTCATACAAACATTATCTATAGGTGAGGAAGTAGCTAATAGCTTTGTAATTCAGAATTGGCAGAGTTATCTCCTCCCTTTTGGTCACTTTGGACAACATTCAGTTGGTTTTTTGGTCTGAAGAAATGCTTGGGTCTTTCTTAGATCTGTTGTGTATTTATCTAATCATTTTTGTGCTGCCTGAAATATCAAATATACCATTATATTATAACTTAACCATGCTTATTCTATAAGTATTTATTTAATTTGCTGGTAGCCTACCCATTTGCAATTAATTAAAGTAGAAAACATCAAAAGCACAATATTAAAAAGTCAATTTAAAAAATGTTGGATTTTTAAAAATAGTATTTAGGTTGAGTGGCTATATCTATTCATCCATTCCATTCTTTCTTTCTGTATATGTTTATTAAACTGCATCAGACTCTGATTATTGTTTTATTCCCCTATCTTTCTTATTTCCATAATGTAAACTCTAATTACTGCTTTATACTCTCTTGGGAGAAAAAGAACCTGAAACTCCTCCATTGTCCTAATGACCTTTGGGAGATGGCATCCAGCCCTTGTTTTTCATTCAGGTGGAAGTAATTAAATGTTGCCAAGTTTAGGAAATTTCCTAATGATCACCAATCATCAAAGACAATGTCATGAAAATATATTTAATAAGGTCCAGCTTCAGTTTACCTCAGGGACTTGACTTATGAGTGAGAAGTGATACCAGGTGGTGGCACATCACATAATTTTAGACTTTTATGTTAGGCAGTATCTGCATTCATGGCCATGATTATTAACCAGTTATACCCTTAAAAACATTATATTACTCATGACAAAAATCTGAAGAATTAAGAAGTGTCATTTCTGCACACATTACCACTTCTTTAATTTTAAGACAAAGATGTTTTCATAAAGTTTTCAGTATGGGAAAGTTATTATGTGGCATTTTTCTAAGTTCATGTTTAGAATAAACTTTATGATTTAATTACAGAAATCATATTCTGATTCATGGACAAATCTAGTAAAACAAAAACTTCATTTATAGTGTACATTCATCAGAAACAAATATAGTAGAATTACATCTATGATCTCAAAAAGAACTTACTATAGGTGTCTATTTATAAGACTCTCAAACACTAGCTCTATAATAATTCAATTTTAATAGGCTTGGCAAATTACTACCTTAAAAAAGCAAACTGTTTTTCTTTGCAATTTTTCTAACAATGTAGTGGGAAATTTTCTATTTTAGAATGACACACACGTATATATGGTTTTATATGTTCTATTTCATACAACATACAAATATGTTATAAATATACAACAAATAAATATATTAAGTATTTTATTTGTTATATATTTTTAAATTATACTAATTTTTAAAAATCAGTTAGTGAAATTCCAATTTCTTATTACCTAATTTCTGAATACTTGATGAAAGGAAAGTTAACTGTTATTTATTTAAAATCCATCATTTTACACATGCAAGATTTTTTTTATAGACTACTCATAGTTATGCAATTAAATAGCAGGGTTTTTTGAAATTCCATTTTTTACTCTTTTTTTTGAGGACCTTAAGACATTATCTAGGAATGTGCAATAATAAGTACTTATGGGTTACTGCTGATGCTACCGGAACAAGAAAAGGAATGCATTCGCACGTTATTCCATTACTCGGCTATTCTCTCTTAGTTCTACTCTCTGTGACTCACTCCATATTCTTCAATGCCACTGCCAGCTCTGCATTCATTCACACAGTGTTGAGGTTTATCATGATAGCATCCAGTTGATACAACACGACTGTTTGTTCTCATCTGGTGAACTCTTAGGCCATTTGTCAGCAAACGACTTAATAGTGTTTTACTTGGCCTGATGGAGAATAAAATAAGTCAATTTCTTTTTGCCTAAATTACCTGAAAAAGCATTGGTCTGTGGTTGTTAAAACTCTACAGTTTAACTTCTCTTTTGTCGAAAGAACAGGAATGGTGAAAAGAAAATTCACTGAAAAAGGAGTATGATTTTTCCTTCAGAGCTATAAGAATGATTCACTGTTTTTTTTCTTTCTACTCTTCATATGTCTTATGTTGTTTTTCTGAACCTCTGTGTGTGTGTGTGCGTGTGTGTGCATGTGTGTGTGTGTGTTGCTGTTGTTCTCCCACTGGCGCACTGGCTTCAGCGGCTAGATTTGACAGAGTGGGATATGATCTGATATTGAAAAG